ATTATTTGAACCAGTAAATGGAAGTCATTCTGGAACTTTCATATAAATTCCTGTATCTAGATCCCCATAGAGATACTCGGTTACCACGTCCATAAGCTGCATATTTAATTTTTCAGAAACTACCAAACTGATAAGGTATAAAACGTTATAATGTCCATTACGAGGGAATACGTCTCCTCGTAATCAATCACAGGGCGTTGAGATAAGCCTTGCACTACGAGGTGTGCTTTGTATCACAATATTTCATTTTTCTCATTACGCTTACTCACGAAAACCCACTTATAGCTCATAGGTTTCACATGTGGTGGAGTAGAAACTATAAGTCCAAACACCTTATGTTTTGTAAACGAATCGAGTTCGACCTGGATTGCTTGTTTCCAGCTTGACCAATCTATTCTACGTCGGCATTCATCAATGGAACGTGGTTCAATGTCATCGCTAAGCATGATGTCAGTAGCTACTGTGTATGCAAAGGCATTGTCAATGATCATCTCATTCCGATTCCAAACCTCATCCAATACTGTGTAATGGACTGAAATCTCACGATTCTCAAGAAGTCGGGTTGTCTCATCTAAGATATCACTGTAATCTAGAATAACCTTATGCGTTAAAACAGATAAGTGAACGATGGTCAGATTCAGACTAGGGTCACTAGTTTGTGTCGTTTTCCTCTTCCGGGGTTGTGAATCCTTTGAACCAATGGGTTTGCCATGCTTCAGGGTCGGAGTAGATGATTGGCTAGCCACCACTATATCGGACCGCATGCAAGATGCAACCTCCCCACCTTCGGGGACGATCCAGCCTTCCCAGTGATATTACGGCGTACTCGGGGTACGTCTATCCTTGCAGGTACGTTTGCAACAGGTATATGTGATCTTGTCACCTTTGCTAAATCAGTAAAAACATTCGGCATACTTTAAGTAATGGTCTGAAGATCTACAATTCGTCGCATCTCAGTTTCAAACTAGGTAGTACGGGGATCTAAATGAGACATAGTGGGAGAATACCACGACAATTCGTGGCGTTCTCCAAGAACGTTAGCATGCTTATCTCCCCCTAGCAACGGGAAGACTGTCTCATCAAAGTGATAATTCATAAAACATGCGATAAAGAGATCTTTTGTCAAGGGCTCTTAATAGCGAATAATTGATGGTAAATCATAACCGAAATAGCTTCCCATTTTTCTATGAGACCCACTTGGGTACATAGTGGTGGCGCTATTAGCATATAGACTGCGTACCCAAACACATGTAAATGTGAGACGTCAGGCTCGTATCCAGTAACCAACTGTAACGGTGAATGAGGTTGGGTAGCGGTGGGCCTCAGCTTAATAATTTGTGCTAGGAGTTCGCAAATTCAGTGTTGCGTGTGGACAATAAGCAAACATGTGACCATCGTGTCGATGCATCAACCAACACTATAAAGTATCTAAATAGTCTGCATGATGGTTGGATAGGTCCACAAATATCCCCTTGAATCCTCTGAAAAAACTTAGAAAAGCTGTGAATAATCTTTATAATTGAGGGTTGAGTATTAAACTTCCCCAAAGAACAAATTTTGCATGGCCAGAATCCATCGTAAGGAGGTCAATGACACTCATGTGATGATTTGAGGATACTGCGCATCATGGCACATCTAAAATGTCCCATACGGTCATGCTAAAGCAGCAAAGTGCTCTGGAACTCAGGCACAGGGCCGGCCACATGGTGGGTTTCTATGCCGCGAATGGTTGTGATGTACAACCCACTTAGGAGATATTCCAACTTCTCGTGAATACGCTTCTGGACATACTCGTAAGAAGTGATACAAAGAAATTTAGATCCATTATCTTCGGTGGTTTTAATATGATATTGATTATCTCGAATATCTCTAAAACTCAGGAATGTTCTTCCGGAACGTGGAGAATAGAGGGCCTCTTTAATGGTTAAGACAGTACCATTAAACAACATGATACGGGCTTTTCTGTATCCTTCAATCAGATTGGATGAGCCTGAGAGAGTTGTCAGAGATGTTTTCTTATGTACGAAGTTAGTAAAATAGTGTCACTCACGTAATATGGCTTGCGTGGTAGCACTATCAACCAGACAACTAACTTCCCCACTAGACATACCTAGAAATAAATTGATTGAATTGGTCACATACATAAATATAATTCCATTCATTCAATTAATCAATTTGAGAAATAATATCCATAAAATAATTATCCATAATTCAAAACAAACCAAAACCAAACAAATTATTCCAAATACTTAGAAAATTGTCCAAAAATTAAACCATAAACCTAGAAATCAGGGGGGGGGTCCAGCCACTCCTAGTAGGTTTGGCCACTAGAGGTAAAAACACCCTAAAAACATGTCTAGAAGAATAAAACTTATTCATCCTTAAAAGCTGATGCCTTCTGAAAATCGGAATCTCCATGGATGTAATAGCATCTTCAGGATGCTCCATATAGGCAAAGTTAAATTCACAATGAGAATAATACTTGGCAATAGCCTCAGGGTAGCTCTGCATATGTGTGACCAATGATCCTTTGATCCATAGCAGTAACACATGTCCATTTTAGTGGAAACCGATTAAACGATAAATTTTCCTTTGTTCTTAAAGTATGGGGCCTTAAGGGTAAGGGGTTGGCGCTTCTAGGTCAAATTTCCTCCCTTGGGTGGGCCTTGGCTCTTTTGACCTTGGGCCATGGTTAGGCTTGCCGCCTATTGCAAAGCCATGATGATTCTTTCATCGTTTGTAGCTGTTAGAATTGGTCGCATGCACTTCAGGCGCGACGTTCGAGCCAGTGGGTCGAGCTTGATGATTTTTCTTTAATAGCTGGTTCTACTTTTCAACGAGAAGTAAAACAGAGATCAAATCCAAGAATTTGGTGAACTTTTGTGCCCTATATTGTTGCTGCAGGACAATATTGGTGGCATGGAAGGTCGAATAGGTCTTCTTTAGGAGATTTGATTCAGTTAAGTCCAGTTTACAGAACTTAAGCAATGATCCGAATGAAGATCATTGCAGTAGCTTTCTGAGCTTTATCAACGGGTTTGTCGTTGGTAGTTGCCTTGATGGTGGCTCTAATACCTTTTGCTGTAAGATGGAACTTCACGTCTTGAACCTACTTCATGTAGTTTCTTCCAGAGACTTCCAGAGCGGTGAAATCGAGTTTGTTCAAGTTCAAGATGTCCCAAAAATGGAGGGTACAACAAAACATGGTTAGTCATATAGTAATCCATAGACATACATCGTAGAACATTCAGGTTCTATATATATATGTATTGGTTTAATTTAAGCATGAAAGCTACAGGTTTCATGTGCTAAGTTTTGAATGAAAACTTCGGGCTTCAAAGGAACTAAATATGAAACTATAAGTTTAATTTAGTTTTATGAACAATTAGTTCATAAAGGAGAGATTCCTATAAGAACATAGAATACAATATGTTGATTTAAGTATAGTGGATTTGAGTTGCTTTGAGAACTCAAGTGTGAGAGCTCTGGGATTACGAAAGGATGTCAACGGTTCAAAGTATAAAAAAAAATAATAATAATAATAATAATTATTGAATCGTTAATGTCTAAAAGTGATCTTCAGGTCAATAATTTTGGACTAATTATAAGATTAATGGACTGCAGGTCACTTTTAATTAATTCAACAGATCGGGACTAAACGAGGTCGATCGTGGAAGCAAAATAATGACAAACGAGTCATATTAGCTTTAGTTGGTGATAAACCAAGTGATAATTAAATTAGAATTAACTAGTATAAACCAAAGTACCCCAAAAAATTTTGGGCATGATTTATAATGCAGGGATGCCAAAAATTGGCATTAGGTCGAAAAATAACGTGGCCCAGCCAAAAGTGGGCTGGTAACAACGCTAGGATAAGCCATCCAGTTTGACTGTAGGCTATTGGGCCTCAGGGAGAGCTGTAAGCTTCAGGCCGTGTGGTCTGGGTGAGTCTAGCAGCAAAAGCTACTGGATGGGCCTAAAGACCATGCACGGGGCAAGCCCAGCCAAAGCTGGGTTTCGGGTCTTTAGTTTGGGGCACGTTAAGCCCAGCATCAAAAGTTGTGAACGAGTAGGCGGAAAGCTTGGTGCCTCTGTGCATGAGCAACAAAGTCCAAATGGTTGCTGTTGTGTGGCCTAAGGTGTCAAAACGACACCGTTCCATGATTCACTCCATACAGCTAGGCGGCAGGCCAGTGCAGCGGTTCAACGGTGGTGCCACAACGGTGCGGCTGCCATGCCACATAATCCCAGTTGTTTTTTCGATATCTTTAGGGTTTGAAAACCCCTAAATTGCTTCTAATTTATTTATATGCTCACAAATTACACATAGCAAAATAATTGCTTAATGCATGAAACATATATATATATATATATATATATTAACAAATATATGAATCATATACAATATATATATATATATATATATATATCGGAAGGAAAATATAAATATAGGGGGTTCATGCATCATGGGGAATGTTTTCATACTTCATGGTCATTTCAAATATCTTACTTTATTTTAAGTGTACTTAATTGGCAGAAAACAAATAAAAACCTTTCAATTTTGTAGAAAAGAGCCTCCTCTTACGATTCTTCAGTTCCTTAGTTTCTGGCAACAACATGCTGATAACGTGTTGTAGGCCTATTTGATTGAACTATTCTAAGGGAATAGAGAGGGGAAGGCTGACAGCAATAAAAGAGAAAAGAGAGATATTTAATTGTGAGGTGTGTGTTGTATCACCCTATTGTGCCTAGGGGTGGGTTCAAAAAATCAAAAATCAAAAATCAAAAATCGAACCGAAACCAAAAAAACCAAACCAAACAAAAAAACCGAACCGAACCACAGATTTGGTTCAGTTCGGTTTCTGGGGTTCAAAAACCGAACTGAACTGAAGTTTTGTTAAAACGACGTCGTTTTATATACATTACTAGAAACGACATGTCATTCAATATGAATGTTTGTATTCGTATTGGTCAACATCTTTCAGTTTGAAACCCTAAACATCCCAAACAGTCTCTCCCATTTTCCCAGTTCGTGCAGCAGCACAGCCTCTGAGCCTTCTCTCTCTCTCTCAGTCTTCAATCACACTCTCAAACTCTCTATCTCTCATTCCCATAGGCGACCTGCAACCCTTCTTAGTTCTCATTCTCAATCTCTCACACCTCGCCATCAATCTATCATCCTGTTCAACTGTAATTGTTATTTATTACTGCAAAATCCAGTTCAGCTGCAATTGACCATCACGCTCTACTAGACCACTACCCTTGATCGGCTGCGGCAGCAGTTCCAGCACCTAAAGTCGCTGAAGCTAAAAGGGAAGCCAAGGGCGGCGATGTTCAATCTGATTCCGGAAGACTGGAGAGGGTATGTGACACAGTGGGTGAGGAGATCGCCGACTCCTTTCACTGCTTGACATGTTTGCACTTTTGGCAGATGATTGTTAGTGATTCAGACTCGGAGTTGATGGCTGAAGCGCGCGGGCGCATGCTCCAGGTGCTTAAGCTCGACAAATGCTCAGGGTTTTCCACCGATGGGCTTTTCCACATCGACCACTCCTGCAGGTAGTAAAGTTCACAACTTTATGTGAAATTGTTTTACTTGCGGTGAATTTTGTTGTGGGTTCAATCAAAAACGTTTGATGCATTCATTATTTTGGTAAAAATTGAAGCACAAAGTTATATTGTTTCACTGCATAGTTTCACTACTTTTTTAGGTTTTCTTTTGAGTATTTCGAGTATCAGTTAAATAATTCTATGTTTGGTGGAGGGGCTTTTATTGCCTTGACTGCAGCAGTATGAATTACAATGCTGATTAAAAAATTTAGTTGCAGGGATTTTTTTGCTATTAAAGAAGAAGAAGAAGAAAACAAAAAAAAAAAAAACGAACCGGGTCGAAACCGAACCCAAAAAAAAAATGAACCGAACCAAACCGTTTCTAACCGAACCCAACCCTAATTGTGCCTTTATTTATAGTAGTAAGATAGGTTAAATCCTTACCCTTTTAGGATTACAGCTCTAATAGGATATTAACTACTAATGCACATATTCAAAGATATCCCTAGATACACTAGGGTTTATACAATCACATTCCTATTCTAAATATGACAAAAACAAATTTTGGTTTGTTACATATTTTGTGTTTTTTGTTTTATTTGCATTCTATTTATAAAAATAAAAAATAAATTAAAAAAAAAACACATGAAACATCATCAATTTGTTGTTTTATAAAACTTAGGCTTAATATTGTATTTTTTGTTTTTCAATTTTCAAGTTTGTTCTTTAGAAACAACATACGAAATGTATTTTATACTCGTTTTTATATAACAAAAAACTGTTTTGTATCAATAGGACCTTACAATTGCGAAAAAAAAAAAATTGGATGAATGGAAGTGAAATGAAAATGAAAGAAAAATACAATTTTGGTGTGTGAGAAATAAGACTACAAGTTTATCTAAACTACCTATTAATAGAACTCATTTTATTAACCAAAAGAAGGTAAAAAGACTATTTAGTCTTTTACCACACAAAAAAATGATGGACAGTAACGTAATTTCATAAAATCAAATTTTAATATTTTTTATTTGAGAATGAGGACAATATTCATTGAAGATTGAAATACGTACAACTTGAGGATAAGGTGCTTACAATGGACCTCAATAAAAATCTTGTCAAGGCTATCAACCCGATCGAAGGGAAAAAAAAGCATCCCACACCAAATAGAAATTACATCAGGAGGTTCTTCAAACCAAGAAACCGAGGTGATCAATAGTGAGACCAAACCTCGCAAGGCGATGAGCCACCTTATTCGTCTCTCTTCGACCAAAGGTGATTTTCCATTGCTTGAAGTCCTGCAAGAGCCCCCTAGTATCGTCGAACATATGTCCATAGTGACCACCATACGCTACACCTGCATTTTGAATTGCATAAATCACCAACAATGCATCCCCTTCCACCTGAACCTGCTCTGTGACCCATATGGCAAGAATAAAGCCGCTGCTCTAGCAGCAGCTGCCTCTGCCTAAAGTGCCAATCTCATATCTTCCTCCCTGCTCACTTGTGTTGCCAGAAACCCTTCATCCGAGTCTCTCATTACTAGCCCACAGCCTCTAATCGACCCATGCTCATCCCATGATGCATCAAATTACATTTTATCCAACTAAAAGTCGAAGACTGCCATTTATTTGTTCTTGTTGAGGAGTTATGTGGTGCCGCATCATTCCATTTTTTAAATTCAGCTAACCATGTTTGTGCTTTGATTTGGGTATCCAACGAAGAAACCTCAACACCATTCTAAATGAAATCATTACAACCTTCCAAATACTCCAAACAAGGACGAGTAGTAGCTCAAAGCTTTCCTTTGACACATTTTGTGCCATATACTCCAACTAACATCCAAATCTTTCCTCACTTAAATGAAATGAACGGATTCCCAACGGACTTCCAAACCATACCACTACCATTCTAGGACATATTAGTAGCACATGTTCTACTATCTCTACCTGTTTATCACAAAAGCCACAAGTATCCTCCATAATTGCCCGTATGTTCTTCAAGTTCACTTTGGAAGGCATTCATATACCCATGCCAGACACAAATTTTCACTTTCCCTAAGACCTTAGCTTGCCACAATGCTTTCCACAGGAATTTTGTGTCAACATTAATAACCGATCCCATAGGCTCATCACCACTCATTCCCAGATAGGATTGAGCCACAAAGTACACACTCTTAGTAGTAAACAAACCTTTAGGTTCCTTTGCCCAAATCAAAGAATCAGCGAGGTAAAATAAACTCAATGGTATGCTCAGAATCAAATCTGCTTCCTCCTCCAAGAACCAACTACGAACTACATTAAAGTTCCACCGAACCCCATCATCCTCCACCATCAATGATCTCACCGTAAGCTCTAGGTGCACCCTTACCAGTCTGGGGCTAAGAACTTTGTAGAAATTCTCCAGTGGCAGCCAGCTATCCCCCCAAATATGAATTCATAAACTATCCCCCACCTTCCATCGTACACCTCGACAAATAATAGACCTAGATGACACCACACTACGCCAACAGTAAGATGAATTAAGTTTAACTATAGCCTGTAAGAACTCAGAGGTAGGGTAATATCGGGCTTTAAAAATTCATGGATTAAAATTATTAAAATATAAATTATAATCTCCAATATATTGTGTGTGTATAGATATATATGTATGTATATAAACATGGGTACATTCATCAAAATTAACAAAAAAATTATTGTACCAAAATATGGGTACATTCTTCAAAACCACACAAAAAAATAATAGATATTAGGCTTAATAATATTAGTAAATTTCTTTGATTAGACTCGGCATGGATACATTCTCAAATCAAGAAAAAGAATGTACTCATATAAGTTTAAAAATGGATTAGAAAACAATTGAATATATTTTATATATAAAAAAATAAGGTACATTTTACATACAACAAATTGGTATATTTAAGAATTGGTACATTTTAAGATTAGAAAATTGAAAAATTACATAAATGGGTACATATAAGATTAAAAAACTTGGAAACCTTTTTATAAAAAATTAAGGGGTACAAACTTATTCTAATTTTTTTTTTTTAATTTTGGAAATGTTTTGAATTGAAGATTAATTAGGAGTTCAATAAAGGTGTGAGATTAAAATCCTAAATCAATTATTAATTTTTATTTTAAAAACTAAGTAACTCACATGTAAATTTAGTATTGCATTAATGCTAGGAACTTTGATCAAAATCTAAAAACTAATGAGGCTTCAGTCAATGAACATTAGTTTTCCTAGTTCTAATATTGACAATTAGAGATCTATATTCTTTTTTTTTTATTTTGAACAATCGATATTATCTACACTAAGGGGAGGGGGTAAGTTCAGCCTCACAATGGGTTAACAATAATGTGGTTCAAATTCGCCTTTTGCGAGAATCGAACCTAAAACCTCTCACTTTCTAGTGAAGAGGAATATCATTAGACCGTAGTACTAAATGGCTAGAGATCTATATTCTTATAATGCTTATTTTTAGCTACACTCATTGGAATTCGATTTTAATCATATTTTGCTCTTTGTAAGTCAAAAGTCGCCACTTTATTCCTTGATACTCAAAGTTCGCTCCACTTTGCTATTTGGAACTCGATTTTGATTTCTTTTGGCCCCCACAAACTCGAAAGTTGTCTCTATAAAACTCAAATTTCGCTCTACATTGACTTAGATTTGTTAATTTCTTATGTGAGTTTGATTTGGGTGCGCTAGGCTAATCAATTTTTTATTTTTATTTTTTCATCTCTGCAACTTCTTTTAAACTAAATATTCTCTGAGTATTGCATAATGAAGATTTATAGCCAAATTTATTGCACATGTTACATAATCTTATTGGGTGTTGAGTCCCACATGTTTTAGGAGGTGGCCCATAAGTTTTAGGAAGAAAAGAGAGTCCACAAGTCAAGGTGAGACGAATTTGGGTTTCATGAAATAAAATAGTATCTTTTGAGTTACATGTAGCAAATTCAAATCAAAATTGATAGCCTTCTATAATTTAGGGACCGTTTGATAACATTTCGTTTTCTGTTTTTTTTTTTTTCACTTTTTTTTTTCAAATCTGAAAACTAGAATCCTATATGGTAACCATTACTCTTTCCTGAGTTTTCACTGTTTTTGTTTTCATTTTTTTAAAGAATTACCAAAGAAGATTGTAGTTTTCAAAAATACAAGCTAAAAAAGCAAAAACTAAAAACTAAAAATTGAAAACAAAAACCAAAAGCATGCAAGCAATTCAAATTGTATTTAGGCGTTTCTTCTATAGTTTGGTGCTTGAAGTATTTTTCATTAACATAGCAAATGCCCACACATATTGTGTGTGAACAATTTTATTCCATTTTGGTTTTTATTATGTAGTGTGCTTAGTTTTTAAAATTCTAAAACAAATCAATTATGAAAGTTGGGACAGCGATGGCCAGTTTCTTTTAATGTGGGCATGTTCTTTATTTTTTTATCTTATTTTTATTTTAATTTTTAAATATGGCATGATATGCTCATTTGACTCTAGATTGGTGTAAAAAATAACAAATTTATATTCATGTAATATTACTAAATTGCCCATGTCTTTTATTTTTGTTCAGTTTTGATGAGGGAGTTAGAATGGTAATTTTATATAGTTTTAGTTAACAACTTGGAGTTTTTTTTTTTTTTTTTTTTTTTTGATAGAAACGATATGAACTTGGATTTTATTAGTAAAGTAGTTTAGGTTAATACCTAGAAGCCTCTTGTAAATTGTTGTACTAGGGGCGGGTGGAATTTGAACTGCGTCAGTCATGCTCGCATTTTCCAAGTCAACCGAGTCGAATCACCATCCCTCCACGCCAACGTAAACTTACCGGCAACCTCCTCCCTCCAATCACGTGACCCAATAGCCCGTTGCCCGACTTTCACTCCTTTCCCTGACTCAAATAGTCAACTTCCCACCTGCCCCATCTGCCCCAAATACTGCAACTTCCAAATATATGTACACCACCAACCGCTCGTTTTCCTCCATTCACACAACATCTTCGAAAATGGCCAAGCTCCTCCTCAGCCTCGCCGCTCTCTTCCTCCTCTTTTCCTTCTCCCACGCTCGCACCTCCTCCGATCTACCCGCCAACGAAATCAAAGCCCGCGATCCAGCCGACGCCAAGTTACCCGAAT